TTTCACTACACCTACTCTTCATTAGCTAATGTCCTGGGACTAAAACCTTTTAACATGATCATTTGGAAAACAATATTAATCTTTTTGTTGTCACCTATAGTGTGACTGTATTATATGGGTGTGGGGTTGATCCGGTGTGATAAAGCGTAAAGACGACTGTTGGTTGCTTGACAACGTGCTTGGATACCCTAATGTATTTCCTGCTGCGTCTACTATATCAGCTTCAATATGCATCATGCATTTAAGAGAACCGGCGTTGATCACTTCTAGTTCACCTGTAGTTATAATGTTTACACAAATTGTCATGAAAGTTCATCTGTGTTGGTAGTAATTGTGGTAAAAGGTTGAGCTTTATTCTAACACACAATTGTACAGGGATCAAATTTTCAGCGACCACTGTCGCCTTCATCAGGATAATTAATGACCAATCACTTCACAACGTTTACACAAAGTTAGGTGTACGTGTATAGGGCGGCGCCGATTCAGGGTTACAATTCCTTTGAGTCATACAGTTAAGTCTAGTTATGCAGCTAGTCCATTGGTGGTGGCGTGTGTTCAACTACCATAGTCAAAAACAGTTAAAACTCAAGCAACTTGATATGATTTTGGAAACGGTCAGACGTTTCAGGTAGTATCACTATCCACTAGCTTTCGTCAGTGACTGAGAGACCAGAGGGGAAATGCAGGTTTATAAGCGAAACCTATTGATTGATATGCTAATAAAGTGAAGACAATTTTTGGGAAGTCGAAAAGGGAACAAAAGTCAGTCAAATCATATCCAGTTGCTTGAGTAACTGCTTTTTGGCGTATCGTATTACCTGGATGTCTAACCTTCATCGACGCAACTACATGTACCATAGTCTTTATCATAAGCGGTACGTACTATGACTGAGAAGCAGGATGTAGCATGTTATAGCTATTTTTGTTTGAACCAATGACATCCCGAAAGCAAGGCAAAAACTCACGGCTACCTACTATTCCCCTGCACTGGTTAGAAATAGAATAGCTCTAATGGTAGAATCGTATTCAATAGTGGCCCAGTACTATGACTAGGAAGCAGGATATAGCATGTTATAGTTATTTTATTTGAACCTGTGACCTCCCGGAAGCGGAGCAGGCACTCTATCTACTATTCCCCTGCACCAGTTATAAATAGCTCTAATGGTAGAAACTTATTCAATCGTAGCCAGGCAGTAGAGTAGTGAATTCAATCTGTGAAGTGTTTCATTATTCTCTGTGTCAAAACCATTTATCTTTATTATATACCATGCAACAGATTACAACTAGACGTTGTAGTATTAATATTTCAGTTGAAAAAACTAAAGATCTAGTAGTATACATTAAGTACATTTTATTTCGTCTGTCCCACGTTAAGTACTTTGACCAACGCGCCGTAGAATCTTTCCGTGACCATGACTAGACCCTGGAAACAACAAGTAGGCTCAAAAATTAATTTTCTTTCCTCTATCATCAATGTAATTAGTGTATGCTCTTCTTTGCAAAGCGTAATTTGATTTCCCTCAGTAACTGATTTATTAATACTATCACACATGATAAAGTTCACAGTAACATTAGGGTGGGGGCATGGCAAGGATTGGGGCTTGTCGCTAGCTACATGGCAATAACTAGCTTCAAGTATTACTACTAGTTCTCCGCGTTCCAGGTAGCGTTGTTCATTATGCATTAAGATGTAAATATAATATTCCTCATTGATTGGTCTTAATTTCATTACAATCACAAAAATAGGCGCATCACAACCTTGAAAGAGACCAAGTACAAATTATTATGTCCCTGATGTATAATTTATCAAGCTCGTATGTTGGAAATCTAATTCAATTCTCCGCAGTCTATATATAGAACCATATGTAATTAAATTTACCATGAAAAATTGGGCCCATGGTACATCTTACGTGTCATTTCAATTTAATCAAAACACATAAGGTGGATAACTAATTATAGGTGATGTATCGCTGAGACGAGTCATTGGGTAGTAGACTAAGATTTCTCATAAAGCACAATTAGTAGTACACTCACATTTTACTTTTAACGTTGCCTCTATAGAAAACCAACGTCGAAACATGTTCAGTTCAGACCAAGAGGTCCAGGGTTCGAATCCTTTGTTTCCCTTGGGAAAGGCACCGACTTCCCTCACTTCACTCAGGTACCTAGCTTCACTCAGGTACCTAGCTTCGGTTAGGGACGTCCCTCGGATAGGATGTTAAATGGAGGTCCCATGTTTGGGGAGAGCCACACCCCACGCACGTTAAAGATCCCACCACACTTGTTGAAAAGAGTAGGGGTCCTTCCCGATGTGGGTGGTTCAACCTTACAGTCTGGTCTCAGGTTTGACATCTTGAAAAGGTGATAGAGACATGTTATGTCAACCCTTCTACGAATAAGGTAAACCTTAAATAAATAAAATAAAAAAAGAAAATAACTTCGGTTGGTGTCACCGTAACAGACTTTGAGACGTGCCCTAAACCACAGCAGGCTAATGTTGAGTCGGAGACCGTTACTTCGTCAATCGATGACATCAAATGAACACAGGAGCAATCATTACTTCTGTAGCCTAGCCAGACATATATCAATGCGTTTAATCATGTTTTACTTCTCTTCATATATATTGAACAGGCATACTAGTCGTAATTAATTAGAATGGACGTACCAAAAAACAAATATATACATGTATTTTTGAGCTATCATAGAAATAAGAAGATTATTCATGTTTTGCTTCTCTTCATATATATTGAACAAGCATTATAGCCGTAATTAATTAGAATGGACGTACAAAAAAAAACCATATATTTTTGAGCTATCATAGAAATAAGAAGATTATTGTAATAAGATTATGTCATAATTAAACCGGACAGCTCAATATAAGACGAAATTCGTAATGTCATATTTCTAATGCTAATTATGATAAGAACTATTAATCTCCTTAAAGCTACGTGTGGCACGATATTGGATTCCTAACATAGACATAATCTCTGAGGCAATTTACTATGAAATGTATGAATTGTAATGTAATTTGGTACTCTTGGAATGAAACGTTCAGAAAAATGCTGTATTTTATAGGATTAAAGCTTCAGCTTTTCTTATCTTCCCTTTTCAGTCATTTCTTGAATGAATGCATTTAGTAGAAAATTTATTCAACCTTTCGCGATGTTGAAAAAAAGCTGTTTCAATTTCATAAATCTGCGATTAGTCTCATAAATTACACATCAGAGTTGTTCCATCTTAACAACTCTGAGGCCCGGGCATCATTCGATGACTGATCACTATGGTAACAGCCAATCAGCGAGCTCATCCACATATCCTTAAATGGCAGGAAAGTCTAGCAGCTGCCTCTATTCTGCGTTTCAGTTTTGTCGTCGATTTGAGTCAGTCGGGCGGCTTCGCGTGCGACGTCGCCGGTTTCACAACTCGGACTAAGCTACGTGCACAACAACCAGCTGTTTTAGAGACACAGAGAGCGTACAGACATCGATAGCGGAAGATTTAGGTGTACCTGTCGCCCTCCTCTGCCCCTGGATATCGGAATCCCATTTTTGAGAAATGTACGGCGACCGGTTGCTTCGCTGCTGACTGTATCTCTCATGCCGGGAACGCTGATCTAGTATCACTTTCGGAACTGCAAGTTGAGCAGGAAACGCTGTGCCTGGACCCTGGGTTAAGCCTGTAATGGACTCGGTGCGGTACGCCCAGACTTGTTACCGTCAACATCGCGACAGTCTCCCCTCGACATGCATGCAAGAAGGTAAGGTGCACCTGGCTCTTTTTGTGGGATCAGAAGATATTTCGAAACGGCTTAGGGGTAAATGAAGAGGATAGAGTACTGCTTACTGGGTACGAGGAAAGAATACTTAGAAAACGTGCACTAATATGCTATGAAAAGTAAGCACAAATGAGGTAGACACACACACACACACACACATATATATATATATATATATATATATATATATATATAGAGAGAGAGAGAGAGAGAGAGAGAGAGAGAGAGAGGAGGAGGG